TTTTCTCTGCGTCTGCGCGAGGGTTTTTCTTCTCTGTTATGATTGAATATATGGCGGCTCCAAAATAATTCTCCTCCAAATATGTATGACTCATGCGTGAGGAGTCCTTTTGGGAAATAATTTCCAACAAGTTAATAGTCTCAGCCAATTAAATCCTAATCCATGGCATGCTTGACTTGATTTAATTTCTGATGGCCACGTGATGTCCTCCAAATTATGGTGAGTGGACTTTCTTAATGAAATAGCCCATAATTGGCTTAACTATTTTAATTGGGCTGTTATGGATACTCAATACTTCGTCGGTTAAATTCGTTTATTGCCACGTCGTCCACGAAAACACTCCAATATCCTACAAATAAGACATAAAAATATCATAGCATTTGAATCCATCTAATAAATAAATAAGTCGAAAAACAATAAGTGCGATAAAATTAAGCATATAAAAATATGTTAAAAAAATATATAAACTACACACTTTTTCCGACCAATCAAACAGATTTATGAATAATTTCAGTTTTAATTAATTTTAGATTGAAAGTAAGAATCTAAGTCACATGGCGAAACATCAAATTTTTTTGCACATAAAATCTTAAAACGTGTTGATATATATATCTACTAGTACAACACCTGTGTATTACACGGGTGCTTGCTAATTTTTTTTCTTAAAATCTAAAATTAATGAGAAAAAGTAGTTTGAAAATTTAAATACCTTTTATAAGAATATATTATTATATATTTATTATGACATTTTTTGTTTGTGCAATTTACTTGTGTTATATTATACTAATTTTTTTAACTTACAATATATAACTACATTACATATAAATATATCAATTGAGTAATAATTTTATTTTTTTAAATTAATTTTAATAAATATTATTATTTTTTATTATTATAAAAATAAATATAATTTATTTATTTCATATATACAATATGAATATCAAATCGAAGATAATCAAAAGATGATTAATTTGATATATTATATATGTAAAATCTATAAGAAATACAGAAGTTATCAACTTTTAAAATATATTTATAATTCAATTGCTTAT